AGGCAGCTTACTTTTCTCTTGAACAAAAGCTTTGTTCTTTTGACTGGCCTTTACTTTCGCATTACATTCATTTTTATAATGGCCAGTCTTGCCACAGTGTGTGCACATTTTATTCTCAGGAAGTGTGAGGTACTTGCTTTTAGGGTCCCACTTTGGTGCTTGAGTCCCATAGCCAAGTCCTCTTTTGTTGCTACTGTGATGCTCTTGCAACCAAGAGAGTGCATCAGAGGCCTTGTTCTATTTGCAAGTTCTTTCTAGTTCATGTTTCACTTTTCCTAGATCTTCTTTTAGGTCTTTAATCAATTCATCCTTCTTATATAATTCTTCCTTCATTTTCCTTAAGTTTTCCGCTAGAGTGAGATAGGTGAGATCAGCTTTCTTCTTTCCTGTTCCTAGTTTCAGTTTTAGGTTTTCAGACCTAAGTTCTAGGACACTAGTGTCAAGTTCAAGAACCTGGTTCTTCAACTCAGCATTTTTGCAATCACTCTCATTAGCCCTAGACTCTAGACTTTTGCATTTTGCTTTTAGAATCACACATTCCCTAGACAGATCTTCCTTTTCATTGTTGATTATTTCAGACTCATCAATGAAGTCTAGTAACAACTCAGATAACCTTTCTTTAGACAGAAATTTAATCTTGTCTTTGAGATGAAGAATACTTACCTCTTGTTGAAGGTTGTACCTCTTGAATAACCCTTTCCTCTCATCAGGTACTTTTTGAAATCTCTAGTGATCATAGCCATCTCATCATCCTCCAGATTTGAACCTTCAGCAATTCTGAGAGCTAGACTTCTCTCCTTCTTGGGTGTATCCATCTTCATAGTTTGCCTTCTCAGTTCATAAGCAGTAAGGTTTCCAATCAGCTCATCCAGCTTGAGGGTAGCAATATTCTTAGATTCTTGAATAGCAGTGATTTTGCTTTCCCATGAAACTGGTAGAACCCTTGTCAAGATTTTCTCAACCTTGTCTTCTTCAAGGTTAATTCTTCCAAGAGATTTAAGTTCATTTGTCAGTGTAGTGAACCTAGTATACATCTTATGGATAGTTTCTCCTTCCTTCATAGTAAAATTTTCATATTGAGAATACAGCAGTATTCCTCTCGACCTCTTCACTTGAGGTGTTCCTTCATGAGCCACTTGCAAGGTGTCCCAGATTTCCTTAGCAGTGGTACAGCTTTGGATTCTGCTGTATTCATCAAGACCTAGTCCACACACAAGCCATTTCTTGGCTTTAGCATTTTTTCCCCACTTCCTCAGGTCTTCAGCAGTGCAGTCAGCCCTTGTCTTTGGCACATCAACTCCTTCAACATTCTTCTTTGTGGTTGCTAGGGGACCATCAGTGACTATGTCCCAGAGTTCATAGTCTTCCCCTATGATGTGATCTCTCATCCTGTTCTTCCACCAAGAATAGTACTGACCATTGAAAAGTGGAGGCCTAGCATTGGATTGCCCTTCCCAATTCCCAGGTGGTGCACTCATGTTGATCTTCTCCTAAGGTGGTAGCTTCTTCAAAGATAACCCTCTCTGATACCAATTGATGTTCTAAACGTTAATACCACACAAGAGGGGGGTGATTTGTGTGGTACCCAATTTTCGATCTAGAAGAACCTGGTTCTTCTAGGTGTACTTATTACTACTGTTTGCGGAATTAAAAGTACATAAAATAAAGAACACAGAGATTTTTACGTGGAAAACACCTGGCTCAAAAGGTGAAAAAACCACGACCTACTACTCAGTAGGATTTTCCCAAACTTCCACTAAAATCACTGAGCCAAAACAGCATTTAAAAAACTCTTGTAAACCTAAGGATTAAACTCTAATCCCGTTGTGGCACACAGCCTCAGCTGTTGCGACAACTTCAAGTTAACTCTAACTTGAATACTCAAAGTACCTAATACAAATGCTTCTATGAAAGCTGAAAGGTACAAGTTTATATCACCTACTACAATTGAACTAGAATAAAAGAAAGACACAATGGAATTGGTTCTTCTATCTTGTTCAAGTAGCTTCAGGAATGCACACTTGAATCTCACATAAATTGCTTGCAAAATTGCCTCGCTCTTTTGCTCTCAATTTAGTTTAACTTCTGCGTTTGTGCAACCACTGTAAAAGAGAACAATAACTGTTATTTAATGAGTTAGTAATTTGAGTTTGATTAAGACTCAATTGCTGATCTTCCATCGAAGTTGAGTCCTTGAACAACACAAACTCCAACCCTATCCTTTATCCGGATTGTGTTCTCTTCTCATAAGGAGACTTTCACTCCTTATCCAATATGCAACCTTTTCGATTAGTTCAGGAGATATTGCTGCTTGATCACTGAGACTTATCTCCTTCACGTGCATCTCACATGTATAGGTTGATAAATGCTGTGCCTCACATGATGGACCTGGTCCATGACTGAGTTCATTTGTCATTCTTCAAAACTTCACCTGAACTTGGGCCAACATCAGCCAAGTAGAGTATCTGTTGAAACATGGGAGTTGGAACTTGTCTTTATGCGTAAACAATTTGAAGGCTCAAATGCTCTTAGCTTCTTCTGGCAAGTCCCTCATTGTGTTGTAATAGGAGCTACAGATATGTTCTTGTGTGTCACTTTATTGTGGTCCATCTCACAAGTGTCTGATTGGATTAAGGGCATTGGGAATGCATTATCCATATCACTGCTGAGCTATTTGAGATATGAGGCTTTATTATCATTGGAGGGAATAGGAAGTTCCATGGTTGAGCAATGGTGTAAGAAGTTGGTGGGTGAACTTTTCCATGTTCCTAATTCATTTACTATTATGGCGTTGTTGTCCATTGAAATTGAATGGAGCGACATGATGTTTCCATTACTGTCAAGGGAATCACTTTATTCAAGGTTATGGTACAAACCCGAGACATGGTGGTGCAATCCAGATACTATGCTATCAGTGCCAGGGAACTACTATACAATTGATATTGTGGGTCATCCAAATAGGAGCAATGAAATAGTAATGGTTGTGTTTGTCATTCAGTTAGTTGGGCTCTTAAGTTTACTGCACTATGACAGACACAGAGTGGATTGGCTGTTTATTTTGATTGTGGTTCTTTGGTTTCATTAGGGGTGTTCGTAAAAACCCGAAAAACCAAACCAAACCAAAAACCAAACCAAACCGACCAAAAAAATCGATACTTTTTGGTTTGGTTTGGTTTTGAATTTTA